GATCCCTGCCACTACCCATAGCGACCCTCTAGGACAGGGTGCAACTGCCCCTTTGGGTTTCTGAGACTGGAACTCTTCATGGGAGGAGAAAGACTCATTTTTCTCCCATTGACCAGCTGGTGGTGTCAATCTGCTGACCTTGCAGTTGGCAGCCCCACTAGGAACACACATGCCACCTGAATGCCCAGTGGTTAGCCACTCCCAAAAGACCTCCCTGCCCAGGAGGGGATGCTGACTCATAGTGACCCCATCGAGAGGGCAGAACTTCCTCTGTGAATTTCTGAGTCTAACTTTTTCTTTCCTTTCATTTTGTTGGTTTAGTTATTATTAAGACAAAAATAGTTTTATTGACATATCATTCACGCATCAGACACTTCTCGGTTCATTGATATGAAAAAGAGCTGTATCATCGCCACTACATCAGTTCTAGAAGAGCCTGTAACGATTTACCAGAGCAGAAAGCTCATCTGGCTCCTGTGGGGCAGCGCGTGGTGTCGAACTGCAGACCTTGCGGTTAGCAGCCCAATGCGTAACTACTACGCAGCCCGAGGTCCCGCAAGGCACTCCACACCGAGAAAACCCAGGGGCTGTTAGGTTGATTCCCGCTCCAGGCGGCGACGTGTGTGTCAGAATTGAGCCAGGCTTCTCAAGAGCTGGCACTTGCTGCATTCCATCTCCAGGCCTTTCTTCCAAGACGCCTCGGGGTGGCTTTGAACCAGTCACCTTCTGCTTTGGCTTAGCAGCTGAGTTTGTGAACGTTGGGCCACCGAGCCCCCTCACATCCCAGCAGGTGCTCAGTAAGCGTTTGTGGTCGTGAGCCCGGTGCCAAGCACCCTCGCGGTTAGGCCGGGGCTGGGGGAGGGCTGGCGGGGCTGGCGGGGGGCGTGGGAGTCGCCTTTCTGGGCCGCGCCAGCCACCAGACCCTCCGCGCGGGCTTGGCAGCCAGGAGCCGGCGCCTCGGGCCCCGGGGGAGGAGGCGTCTGAGTCTGTGCCCATCACCTGAACTGCACCGCGCGGGAAGGGTAACAATTATTGGGAGAGGTTTAAAAAAAAAATCATTATCAAATAACTACGGCTCGAAAAAGTTGGCGGGCGGCACGGAAAACCCGGCCTGGAACGCGCCGGGGACGCCGCTGCCGGGCGCGGCGCGGCGCGGTAGCCGAAAATGGAAGGCAGCGCATCGGTCACCTTGGAGGACGCGCAGCTGGAGGGGGGCGG